CTTGCCTCTTCGCCAAGCCCCAGGGCCTGCTGCGCCGGCTTGCTTTCCCCATAGCAGAGCGTGTCGCTTCCTTTGGGGTTGATTGCACGGAACGAGGCAGCTCTGGCTGACCCGGTGTCCCACTTCCCCGTGCTCATTGTTCCTTCCCACCGTTCTCACAGCCTTTCTCAAGGGTATTTGTGTTGCCGGCAAATTGAACGTTTTTGGAGTGGCTCAGTGCGGCCCCGCGCACAAAGCGAAGGGCCGGCTCCATGCTGCCTCGCTGGGCTATTGTAAACTCCCATGCTGTCATTTGCTGTTACTTCCCCACTGATAAGTGACTGCGTGTCCCCATGAAGATGCATTCAAAACCTTCCCGTGTGGTTTGTGTTTGTGTTTTTTTTCCACACGTACTACAGCCTCACTGACTTGTTTCCCTGCCGTTTCCCAAAGACCCCACGTATGCACAGCCCTAAGGACAACCAGAGCTGGGCAGTGTGGCTGCCAGGCACTGCCCACATGCCCCGCTGCTCCGGGGGGAACCGGGCACCCACCCTAACACGGCAGCTGGCACCCGCTGCACCACGGCCAGCCCTTACAGACCTGTCAGGAAAATATCTGTACACTGTGAAATGCAACAGCTGAGGAGCGCTCACCCACTGTGGAGAGCTTTGTTTTTAAACACTAAAGCACACTTCGGTTGGCTAAGGGAGTCTGAGGGGGGAACATGTTTGACCATGTAGCACCGCCAGGGTTAACCAATATTAGCAGATGAAAAATTAGTTTTATTTAGGCTGTGCTGGCAGGTGGGTCCGAGCCTTGTCATGCAGGGGCTGCACTGATGGCTGCCTCCGGGCCAGGGCAGGCGTGGGCTGTTGCCCTCCTGCTGGGTCCCGCTGTGGAACTGAGGAGCACAGCTCCAGCCAAATAGTCACTACGTTCCCAAATGGGTGGTTGCAGTCCTGGTCAGGCAGTTTCTCTGTAGCTGGATACTTGGGAAGAGGTCGCAGTGAGCTGCCTACCTTGCTGAAGAGCAGAAGGGCTGCAATGGGAAGGCACACAACAGGAGGAGATATATATATATACCCCCCCCCCCCCCCATCAGGCACTGTCTCCACGGAGGTCAGAAATCCCTGCCTTTATACAGGGTGACTAGTTGAAGCAGCCACACCTTAACCCCAGACCTGACACTAATGCTTTCTTCTGCTTGCCTAAATGCTCCCTGAAGTCTGAATTAGTATTTCTTTTCTAATCCGCTTGCTAGAGTTGATGTGCAATGTTAGTACCTGTGTGTTCAACCAAAAGAGTGGCTGAAAAACAGTGGAGGCTAAATGATCCCTTCCTACCTCACTGAGAGGTTTTAGGAGGTTTAATCCATTATTTTAAATCCTCAGAGGAAAGAAGGTGTAGAAAAAAGGAGTATTAATGTCATCATTGCAACTGCCTGTCACTGTCACAACATTAATTAAAAGCAAACAATTCAAATGTCAGATCTCACATAAAAATAGTTTAAATATTTTCTTTATAGTTTACAAGAGGAGATAATTCTGCTAGGCATGCACACTGAGATTTTTGCCTTTTCACTGGTGTATCATATTGCTTTACAATGTGCTGTTCATGATCTGGTCTTCAGGAAATCATCTTCTTGTGAGGAAGACCTGGCAGACTTGTAGCTCCACGTACACGGTGGAGGCTGGAGGATGCCCTGTCTGCCAGGATGCCTGGGTATTTGCAATGGCAGAGGAGGCTCAGTGCCTTGGAATTGGGAGGCTGCCAACAGCGGGTGGCCACTGCCTCGGTGTTGGCCTCCCCGGGTCTCCCCGCTCTGTTTGCTCGCTGCTTAGGCCTGTCTGGGTTCCGTGCCAGAGCCTGGCTGCAGCCGGGGCTGGTGGTTCGGGTTTGCTTGTTGCAGAGGACCAGGTATAACGAGCTGCCCTTGATGGAGGTCTTGCTGCATGCTGTGAAGGAGATCTGCCTTCCTATCGCTCCTGTCCTTCCTCCCATTCCCACATTTTGGGAGCCTCTCCAGAGAATTCATAATTTAGGGCTTGTGTCCTGCTCTCGAGGGGAACACCCTGAACTCACAGCAAACATACACTGAGCTGAAGTTGCTTTAATTTGAACAGCAGCTGCGAATGTCATTGCTCAGGCTGTGCCCCAGCAGAAGCCTTGGAAGCCAGTCTGTGATTTTAAGGTTATGGCTACTCCCTTTCCAGCCTGCACAACCAAACAGCCGGGATGGAAAAGGAGGAGAGGCCACAGATTAATTTCTTTTTGTTACCTTTACCGTCGCTCTCCAGCAGCTCTCCGTGGGTTGTGTGCTGTAGCTGTGCCCAGCTGCTTGCTGTGGGTTCTTTGGTACACAAACACACAGAAAACTTCTCTTACACTTTTGCTTCTCTGTGCCATCCTTGCTGGCTATATTGCACCATGTTGTCTCTTAAAATCCCTTCTGCTTGAAACACATGCCCTGCGGCAAGGGTGGTGGCATTACCCCCTGCTCAGCAGCGAGACTCTGCTCAGCCTCTCCTCCAGCAAAGTGAAACCTTCACTGAACCAGCTGCTGGATACAGAGAGGACGGGCGACTAGCCACCCTCCAAGTAAAAAATTAGTTCATTAATAAGGCACTAGTCCAACATGCCTGTGTTGTTTTTGGGGCCGCTACCTGCTTTTTGCTTTTCTATCCGATAAGCACACGTGTGCCCTCAGAGCTGGGTGGGCAGGGAGAGACCAGCGCACTTAGGACAACAACAAACTTGCACCAAGGGTGTTTGAGCAGCAAAGGAGCCATCGTTTCTGAAAGGATCAGCCAAATAAAACATGAAACTTTCTTTGCCCAAGATCAAGTAAAATAACAATAAACAAACAGGTTGGTCATTACCAGGAAATCTCTGCTTGGACGAGACCAACTTCCAAGCAGAAGAATCTCAAAAGGGAACCAGCAGAAGCATCGCTCCTGGAGTAACGCTTGGACACTGGAGATCTCCCCTGGAAAGAAGAGGAGGTACCCAACAGGCATTTTCCATTACTAATATCTAGGAACCTTGAATCACTTGGAAGATACAGAAGCCCCAGTGTCTAGAAGAGCTGGAGAACTAGGCAAGAAATACTATGTGAGAAACATTATGGTATTAATTGTCCCACTAAATCTCCCCTCCCCGCCAGGTCAGGTATTTGGAAAAAGCCATGGTCCTCAGAAGAGCTCCTTCCCCCTTCACCTATTTGAGTGGATTTCTGCCTACGAAAAGGAACCATTTACCTGGAGGAAAAGTTACACTTTCCTGCCATACCCAAGTGTGTATAAGCTCCAGCACAGAAACGCATCTACAGATCATGGGGCAGTTGAAGACCCACTATCTCTTAAATCTTTGAAGAGATTACTAGAAGGAGAGTTAAATCGATCTTCTGATTAAAACTGAATACTGCTCAGTAGCTGAGCTCCACTCAGTGGCTGTGGCAAAATGAACTCCCGTGGAGTCACGGGGGCAAAGGCAGTGTGGGAGCTTGCACTGCCCACGTCTGACCTGGGAAGCGGTCTGTGACCACGGAGCGATTTCACATCGTGCCCAACTGCTTTCAGATGACTTGTCAGTAACTTCTGGTGTTTTACCTCTTGGCGGCACCAACAATGACATAAGTTACTGGTTTGCAGCATCCCTTGCAGGTACAAGACGGTGAAAATGGAAAATAAACAAAAGTATTAATAATGGCTGTGAAAATTTAACTTTTATTATCTGTTCACTGTATACAAAACACCATTCTGCATAGTGATAACTCATTTGTTGTACAGTTGACAGTGCACATCAACAAACAAGTGTTCAAGAGGTATACACTTAATGGAAAGGGCAGTGATGGCCAGTGTACATTACACACTAAGATCCTGCGACGCCAGCTGTATGTTTTAGGATGGAGAAGTACCTCATAACCACTCAATATGTGAGTAATATAAATGGGATAACAAGTATTTACCAATGAAACAAATTAAGAATGAGGATGAAGAGAGAGCGCAGAACTAATGTATCCGATACACAATGTCCAGAGTGATTAAGAAGTTTTACAGAGGTGGCTGAGAAGGATCCGTATTTTTTCAAACACTTCAATTTTTCAAACTGTTAAAATTTAATGATAAATAACAGAATCTCACAAATCTTTAGGGGCAAATTGCTCCACATTTATTTACATATGACATGTGTTTAATACAGTTGTAATGGACATAGTGTATAGTAACATCTGACAGCAGCAAGACTTTTAAGGAACCAAACAATTACTACTTTATATCATGCAGCTATCTATATATACACAATTTGTTTTAAAAAAAAGTACAAAAATTTTTTTTTAGGGATACATACAAGGTATAAAATGCAAAAACAAACCAAAAATATAACTCTCACAGAGAACTATATATGAAAGGGACAGTATGGTACCTTTTTGTACTTTGTGAAAGCGTAACTAGTGATATTAGATACATGTTTGAAATGGCTGAACTAGCTTCATATGGTCTGTGCTAAAGCTGAAAGCCCCAATTATACTTACATAGGCTGGTGTGTTAGCTTCTTGACAGTTGTGGTTGTATGTGACACTGAGCACCAGAACATTTGGCATTAGCATACAGAGCTGGGAAATACCAAGCCCTGTAGCAAGGGTTAACTATTTTCTTTCAATAACCAGAAATAAAGGAAAATACATAATGCTGTGTACTCGCTTCTATATAATGTTTAATAAATTACATGACAAAAAACATCATCATTATAAACCTATTCCTCTAATTACATCTTATTTGTTAAATCCAGAGCAGCCCAGCCCTTTTGTAACAATTTGAGCTTTGATCACAAGCACCTGATGGCCTAAAAAATCACTTCATGATACAGAGTTGTGCAATTATACTTTTCAAAAGTACTTTATCATTCTAGGGGGTCTGCACCTGTTCTGGTGTCGCCACCTAAAACCAGCACTGCATTTTTCATATGCAGTGGTACTTTTTTTCTTTTTTTTTTTTTTTAATATATATATTTTAAAGAGAAAGTTTAAAAGCTTCCTTAGACATTTAGAAGCACAAGTTCTTAGAATTTAAAATCTCCCCTTAGCTTGCTTCCCCTCCCCACTCCCCTCCAAGCACTGCCTTCTGATGCACTTCCATTAGCTAAACTTTCTTTCAGAAGCATTCAAATAAGAAACAGTTTAAGAGAACCTAAGGAACTGCCCCAGCATTCAGAACTCTGTTTTAAAGAAACTTACTAGAAAAAAACCAGAAACAAAACAGAAAAAACCAAATTTTCCACTAGATACCGATACAAACACATAACAAAGAGTATAAAAGTTATTAGTTTAAATATATACAAACTCTTTTCAACTCAAATACTGCTTCAATGGTTTTGAGGGTATAGACAATGAGGTGAAGGGGACACTTTTATGCAGAATATATTGCAACAGCCTGAACAGTACTGTTAACACTATTATACCTTGAACTTTCTGTAGCAAAAATGTCATTAGTATTCCAATGTGGAGAGAGATTTCTGCGTCCCAAATAATCTGATCACTTTTCAGCTGAACTCATTCTTTTTGACTTAATGAAGGCCATGCCATGTGTTCTCATGTGAGTGTTTAAGGCCGCTTCAGTTTCAAAAGTCTTTGCACACACTTTGCATCTTCTGTCTGATGCTGTACTGTCAGATGATTCATCTTCGTGATTGGGTTTATTTTCTTGCTGATTATCCTCCCCAGACCCGTTTTGTTTTGATACTGGCTGAGGCTCCTTCAGCTTATGTACAATGAAGAGATGTCTGGAGAGGGACACGTGAGATGTGTAGCACAGTCCACATTCCCTGCATTGGTATGAAGAGCCATCAGATTTATGCTGAGGAATATGTTCATGAAACTGGAGAAGATTTTCTGTTGTAAAGCCACAAACAGCACACTTGTGAACTTTAAAAACATTTATCTTTAGCTTCTTCAATGGCTGAGTGATTGCACCTCGTGGAGGCCTGAATTCCAGTACAGGTTCTTCCAATTTACGCTTTGGACTAGGAACCTAGAAAAAGCCATAAATGGTATATCATGTAAGCATAAGTATGCAGTTCTTTTCATAACTGTTTGTGACTTGCAAACTTCAAAAACTTTCCCTTGGTAGATTCCGGTACAACTTTGATAAATACAATATTTGAAATAATACAAGCAAATAAATGTTGTACTTGTTGGAAAACTAGGGGTTTTCTTTCTTATAACTCACATAGAAAATTTGTTTTGTCAGCTCTGATAGAGCTATAGTATCTAATCCACTGTATAAACTTGAATAAATTTTTGCCAGCGTAACTGCATCCAAGTACATACACCAATGAGACTTCAATCGCGTACAGACTGTAGAGTATCAGTCTAGGAACTTTTCAGCAGTACCTTCTGGAACTCCATTTTAATTACTTAATATTATTTCATGCCTGAAATTTGAGCTGACAGATATCTCCTGATTGTTAGTAACCAAACTGACGTATTGCCAAAGGCTGAATCAACATGCACAATTTTTAAAACTAATTAGACTGATAATTTTTTATATTCTCCTTGTTAGTCTTCTGACATGAATATTCCTCAAGAATCCTCTGCATCCTATGTAGCTCAGATATGCTCCATGATGTTTATGAAGACAATGTATATAGCTGCCATATTTCAACACTTAAATAAGATGACAATATGATGGATTGAAAGAGAGTAATGTAAAGGACTATAGTATAGTTTAAAAACCAGGTATGTTTGTGTCTCTACTGTCAGCTTTGGACATGCCATCACAGGGGAAATTCTTTATCATATACAGTCCAAAACACTTAAAAAATGTTAATCTCTGCATGTAACAAGTCTTTGGACAGTGCGGTCATCTTACTTGCACTTTCTGCATAACACTCATCATCAATAGAAGAATAGAATAGAATATTTCAGTTGGAAGGGACTTACAACGATCACCTAGTCCAACTGCCTGACTCCTTCAGGGCTGACCAAAAGTTAAAACTTACTATTAAGGGCATTGTCCAAATGCCTCGTAAACACTGACAGGCTTGGGGCATCAACCACCTCTTTAGGAAGTCTGTTCCAGGGTCTGACCACCCTCTCGGTGAAGAAATGCTTCCTAATGTCCAGTCTGAACCTCCCCTGATGCAGCTTCGAGCCATTCCCAGGTGTCCTGTCCCTGGATCCCAGGGAGAAGAGCTCAGCACCTCCGTCTCCACATCCCCTCCTCGGGAAGCTGCAGAGAGCAATGAGGTTGCTCCTCAGCCTCCCTTCTCTCCAAACTAGACAAACCCAGAGCGCTCAGCCCCTCCTCACAGGACATGCCTTCCAGTCTTGTCACCAGCTTTGTTGCCCTCCTCTGGACGCATTCAAGGGCCTTCACATCCCTTTTAAAATTGTAGGGTGCAGCACTGCACACAGTACTCGAAGGTGAGGCCACACCAATGCTAAATCCAGTGGGAGATACTGCTGTATTTCAATCATTAGATTGAAAGCAGTTTCACTGTAAAATTTGTATCAGATAAGCTCAAGGCTGGGTATTTGGAAGGTCACATTGCTTCTACATAAGCTGTAGCTTTTCTACAGCTATGAGAGGACTTGGTTGCAGAGAATTTGAAAGGTGCTCTTAAAGCAAACCACTAAGGGTTAAGTCATATTCTCCATCATTCAGTGATAAAACCAAACAGAAGTCTTTCCAAAAACATGTTCTAGTTCAAGCATGACAGAATTTGTTGCAGGAACCTTTGAGACATATTTTGGGCTCTACTGCACAGAAGATCAGACTTTTATGGGATCAAAATATCTGCATCTATTTAAAGATCCTGAATGTATACCCACAAAAAATTCACTCTCAGTGACTGAATGCATCTTCTAAGTGATTACCTTTGTGTCTTCTTTTACCTCCCTTTCTTCCATATTGGTTGATTCAGTCATTTCTTTCACATCAGGGTCTTTAATGCCATGCATCAACTGAATATGTTTTTCCAACATCAACCTCTTGGTAAAAGTACGTCTTGAATCTGGGCAGTGCCTACATAAACACAAAGCAGACACGCGCAGATTCAAATGTCATGCTTAACAAAAGTCGTAGTATACTGAACAATATAAATAGGCCTAGTAAATAAATCCAGACTAGAGTACAATCTATTGAAGATAGCGACAATGTTTTTCCAATCAATTGCACAGGGAAGTATTATAAGAAAATTAGCATAATTACAAAATAACACTAGAAACGTTTGAGCAATTTATATTCAGAGCAAATGAGAAGTCCTCTGAAGATAGTATCCAAAATGGTATAAAGTGTGAGTCAGAATAAAACCTGGGAGCATCTGAGTCTCCTTCTTGGATCTCTGCTAACATCATCAAACTGTACATTCTATTAGACACTTTCCCAAGTTCTCCTTAATTTAAATTTCATAGGGAAAGCAGTCACCTTCCATGTAGGATGAATGCTAGCTTCAAATGACACTTAATTCTGCATTCAAATCTAAATACTGATCTGCTTGGAACTAGTAATTCCTTCTCAGCTCCCTTTCCAACCTCAAAATAAGGAGCACTTGTCTTTCACAATCCCACACAGAACCAGCTAAACCTCTCATGTGGTTTTGGGAAGTGTATTTCTCCTGAGCTCCAATGTTGTAATATACTGTACAGGTGTCTGGAAGAGGGATGGCCAAAGAAGAACTGCAGGGGAGAAGTTAAACTGTATTACTCTTTCTGAGTGTCCCTCCTAAGGTTTTAACTTTTTAAATGCTGTTGCTTTTAACTTTATTAAAAAAAAAAAAGAAAAAAACCCCAGTACTGTAGGCATTCTGAAATGAAAACTGAGAACCACAATAAACTTTCTGCTCAAAGGGCATACAAAACACAGACACTTGCTACTCGTAATATACCAAGAGAAATAGTGTCTAGGCTAGCCAGCTCATGCAGGTTGTGTCAGGCAACCACAGTGCAGAGACAGGAGGTTATAAAGCACTTTGTTGGAAAGCTATGCTATGCACAGCAGTCTCAAGTTTCCACACCACTGTGCTTTGTGCTTTCCATAACAAAGCAGAGATCATACTGTGGCAGAGAAGGGACTGGTAAGATCTCAGCCACAGAGAACGGCTGCTGCTTGCACCTTCCTTTTCAGAACTTCAAGCTTGGTCCCGCAGCATGCAAATACATACAAAATTATGAATGAAGAGATATAACAGAAAGTTTGTATTATATATCTTATCTGGCTGACATGGATTTTTCTATTAAATTATGTATCATCTCTCCAGCCACTTAAACATCACTAAGGATTTTAGACATTACGCACTGTTTTATGTATGAGAAAAATAATACTACTGGCTTTTGTAGATTAGAAGAATGGGCTGTATATTTGAGAGACTATTGAAAACCAAGTTCACCACTATAGAACTACCAGCCATGCAAACTCTCAGCTCAGTAAAGTTTCAGATTTGCTTGCCAAAGCCTCTGAAAGACAGCAGACTTTATATACATGCATTCTCAGTAGCTTGCTATGTCTTATGCATGTTGGATACATAGACAGGCCAAACTAGGGTATCTAAATACCTGGTTCACTTGAATGAATGGGACACTGCCTTTTATACAATCAAGAGAAGACATTCAACTAACAAAGTTTTTTCTTGGTTCATACTCTGTTTCTAAATAAATAGAAGTAGAACTTACGAGCATGTATAAACCTTCCTAATGCCTTTGTGCTTGATACGATTATGACGACATAAACTATGGGATGAACTGAAAGATTTGTCACATTGTCGACACGGATGTTTCTTCATTTGCTTTATAAAAAGAAGAAAAATAAATTAATTTAAAAAGCTCAATAGAAGTAGTCCATGTGTCGAACCTTTTGATAATAGGAAAGAAACATCACTTACCAGTGTCTGGAACTGTATCTTCAAGTACACACCACTCCTACAGCAACACTGCAGAAGTCAGAGGACCTGGACCTCTTTCAAAGCAGCGTGGCTAGCATGAGTTACGCACATATCTATCACCAGTTGTAAACCGGTGTCACAGACTGTGGATGAAGTGGATTTCTTCCACCAAAGAAGCAAGGAAGATCAGTGGATTACTTCTGGATCAGCAAAGGCAGGACGGTGAGAGATTTGCTTTCACTATAAAGTAACATTTCCTTTCCCATCACCAAACTACATCTGCAGTTGCTGACTGAGAGTTTATGTCATGTACAAGGAGGAGTGAAGAGCACATAATAAGGACCAAAGCAAAACGTCATGGACACTGACACACTAAGAGGGCTCAGAAAAATCATGAAGAAATAAGAGGTATGGTCTGATGCCAACTTGAGGGACACCTCTTTGGGGAATTCTGTGGGTTTTATATTACAGTTTGTTAAGAGGAAGGAGAAAGAAAAGGAAGGAAGCTGAAAAGGATGGAGTTATCTCCATTTATGTCATTCTAGCTGAACATGGCCACAGGAGCTCTAGTATCTGATGAAATAACATCTCCAAAACTGCAGACTATACAAGCCCCAAGAACGAATGACACGGTCCTGTCCCTTAAATTCCATCAGTCCTAGAACTCAATTCAAACGGCATGTCTTATCAACCAGAGTAGCTGCAGTAAGGAAATGGAAACGTCACCTATCAGATTTCCTGCTTCCTTTCACAGGTTACTAGATTGTTTGTATCTGTAATTTTTGTTGTATTGGCAGTAACAAGGAAATCAAAACAACATCTTCAAAATTAAATCCAAACACTGATCAAACAAATCTAATTGAAAACCTTTCCAGACTACTATTTCAGTTTACTTTTCAACAATCCAGCCAGGGCCAGGATACCACGCTTAACATTCAATGTAACGATTCCTGCCAGAATCAAGGTGTTCTGGGTCTGAAGAAGAAATGGATTTTATTGGAACCTCCCAAAAGAAATCTGGATCGCATGGACCCAGATTTCAAGTGTTCCAGTCTGAGGGAGGGCTCATGCCTGCTAGTCAGGTAAAAGTGAAGCAACAGACAGTCTCATACCATCAGACAAGTATCTAGAAAGAAAATCATGTTCTTTGGATTGCTTTTTCCTGCTCTAGCAGTGATCATAGTTTTCCTTCACAGTGTCAATAACGTTCTCTTTCCTGCACTTATAGGGAAACTGGAAAAAAAATAATCATATTTTATTCTAGTATTCCAACTAATGCCACCGGGTGAAACACTTGGATCAATGCTTGAACTTGGACTCTTCTTGACTCTTCTGGAGAATCCACCCAAGATCTGTCCCTATGTTCCAAAACACTCAATAGCAAAGGTTTTGTTAATGTAAGAATGTAAAGGGTTTGGCTCACTTATTCTTACCCTCTGAGGAAGTCACAAATTCCTAAACAATGGAAATGCACAATAATCCACATGGACATTTTAATATGACGAGTCATTCTCTGGTGCCTAATATTAATTAATAATAATTAAAAAAAGAATTCTCAATCCTAAATACTAGTGGGCTTAAGTCATACAGAAATGCTTAAGGAACTGAAAAACATCCATCTTATATTGTGCTCTAAGTGCTGAACTTTATGTTGATGTTCATATTCTCCCTAATGGCTACATTGTTCAGGAACAGCTACAGACAAGCCAGTGGAGATCTGTAGAGGTGATGTCATTACTGAAAATTATCATTTACTGCAAAGTTTGGAGTGAGCAGTGGAAAGTTTGTAGATGGGAAAAAGTGATGTCTGGAATGACTAAAGGAGTAACAGGTGTTACAATGAGAGGAGAGACCTTTTGCTATCAAGACCAAAATCACATGGAGTGTGACAGAAGGAAAGCGGTTCTGAAAGGTTGTTCATGCAAATGTGAAGCAGCCCATTAGGAAACATGGTATGGTAATTTTATTGGGGCTAGCCAACATAAAGCTGTTAGAGGCACAGTACTGTTCAATGTAACTTCCTTTTCATGTTTAAAGGCCAATTAAAATAAAAGGAAACCAACATATTTCACTCTTAAATTGTTAAAGGTAAAAACTTGACAGTGTGTACACATAGTGCATACTCATTAAAGCTAATCCATCAATCAATACATTTTGCAGTATGGTTTTGGAGTATGCTTATGACTGCAATGCTCTGGGAAGAATTTATAAAATAAAATAAAATGTGAAGTCACATTAGGACTTCTATCACGAAACAGCCCTGCACCATGCTGTACAAACATGTACAAAAGCTCAACCAAGGTGGCCCATGTATCTTTGCTGAGGCCACTGCACAGTGTAGATGCATCAAGCACTTAGTCAGAAAAGCAGCAGGACTGTGCTCAGCAGGACCCAGTCCCTCTCAGAGCACGAGGGGCACTGCCTGGGGTAACCATCCATGACACCACACTCATTCTAAATTTGTTGGGAAGATTCCACATAGAGACCCAAATAGGATTTGGGATGCATCAGTTTCTGCAATGGCAGCCAAAACCAAAAGAACTAAAAAATTAGTTCTGTAATCAGGTGCAGCAGGACCTGTTGTACAGCATCTTGTCTTTACAGAAAGAAAGAGGATGTTCAATTAGATGCACAGCAAGTCAGAATTGGTAAAGCAACTCCTGCTTAGAAAACATCTGTCCTTTCATAGAAACACAATTACACACAAGTCCTAGGAAGCTCAGCATATGTCTACCTGGCTGACTGCAGACATACATACATGATCCAGTTTCAAGCCAGGGGTTGTACAGACTTGTTAGAACCACCCTTTGTCTGGGGTAGTAACTGTTTTGTGTTTTGTTTTGTTTTTTTTTTTTTTTTAAACAGCACTTTTAAGGTCAGGCAGAGAGTCACACAAAGGTGGCTACAGATTTTCGTACCCTACAGCTGGCTCACCTTCATAGCTCAGGAAGAGGATACAGAAAATGTGAATCTGTCTATCTGCCTGCGTAGACATTTTCCAATAAGGTCTGGAAACTCAAGAATCTGTCCAAAGAGGATATACATGGCAATACCTCTCCTATTAATACCTCTGAATAATCCAGCCTGGGATCAGGTAAAAAGGGTTACAGCTCCAAACTTTCACTCTGATCCTGCAAAAGCAGCAATTAGAAATTTGAAATGGATTATCTTCAAATACCTTACATGACAATGGACTTTGTGAATAGCTCATGAATTCCTTAAAGTTTCTAACAAACATTCTGCATAGATAATTTTAGAGCATTTAACCCACACCTATCATTCTTAAAAAAAATAGACTTAAAGTAATTCCATTATTTATTAGACCCATATCACATACTTAGTTATCTTATGCTCATTTCTAGTCTCTCTACAATAAAATGTATCCATAAAAGTTTAGGTTTTGAATATAGTCATTTTGAAAGCTAACAATTAGTGAAATTTTTGAAAGGTCTGGAAGGAACGTAACAACTGGTCTTTATCATTCATTTCTGAAAGACATGTAGTTGTATCTCTATTCATTTTAATATATATATGCCTCCTGTGTCATTTAAGGAACAGCTTGAATAGGGATAAAAAATAGCACATAAATGTACACAGTGAAACAGGCCTTTAGGCCAGTATTTGAGTGCAACAATTACCTAGTATTTCATAATAAGGGCTGTTATTGAGGTAACATTGCACATTCTTATTAAACGTCAGAGATAGAAAGATACATATTTAAAGCTAATATTTAGAAAACATGATCAATGTGTTACTAACCTTATTTTACATGCCTTCTGCCACTTTGCTGCAGATGTGATCAGACTGGATATCATTCTTTAGTTCACTCTGACGTGACAGTTTCATAGGAAGGTTGTGTTGTTTTTAAGAATTGGATCAATATAAAATGCATCTGGTCTTTAACTTATTTCTGCTTGCCAGTAAAAATACTGATGAGTTAATACTTGGACAAACAGGTGAAACAGAGTGGACCAACAGTTTACATGCTGCTAAAGAGACTGATTTTGACAGAAAATTAAACTATGATTGTTTGAGTGTTACAGGATCAGAAACAAGTGTTTAGTGCATAGGCATGCCACAGGGACTGTAACACATTTTACAGAGTTTCTTTATAGACACTATCTAGCAGAAGTGTCAGGAATGTATCTGCTAGCCTTGAAACTGAAGCAATTAACAGTTCCTCAGGGACCTCAATGGACAGAAATGCAAAAATGGTCTTCTAAAGCAACTGGAGAAATCAAATGGAGACCACATGATCTCAGCTGTTTGTCTACTTTTCATGCCCTCCAGCTGTAAAAGGAGAACCAGGTAAAAGAAAATGTAGTTCTGTGAATCATAATCCTTTGGTTTTGTGTGTTTCGTTCCAAGGGGGACTGGCAATGTAGCTACAGGACTCTTCACAGCAAGAAGGCTGAAGGAATGGAGTGGGAGTTACTGAAGGCAAGGAGAAACATGGAAAGTCTCCTGTCAGTCAAGCTTGGGTGCTATTCGCTTGAAGTTGTCATAAGAAAATTAGAGATGACACTCAGTAGTCTGGCATTTTCCATTTTTCCATAAAATGTTTATAAACAGAATAAAATAATTTGCACAAGACCTTTAGAGATAAGCACTGTAATTTGAAGGGACACAGAAACCTCTGGAAATGTGCCATCGTTTATTATAGCATATTAGCATCCTGAAAACTACAGATTTTCACACTCAGGATGATTCTTCTCTACTTAAGACAAAATAAGTCTGTTACCCCTTCCAGTTCTGCTCTTTTTCTGCAGTGCAGCACAGTACATTAGTTTAATTCCCTGCTTCCCAGCTGAGGAGAGAATCAGACCATTTTCACTAGCACACAGCAAAGGACAGGACTGGATAGCACATGACTGCTGTTTGTCAGCATCAGGCTGGAGCTTGCTACAGTCTGTCTCAAACACAGCTAAGAAGGGTCTATCCAAGGATCAGATTCACTATGGCTTACCTGCCAGTCTTTTAAATTTCATTTAAGTGGAAAAGCTATCGCATGCAGCAGGGACACCAAGCTGTCTTTCTGCCGACTTGAGAATACAGCATTCCTGTATTTCAGTTTCAATCCATTTTAAGTAAGCTATCTCAAATCCATCTGCTTTAAATACAAAATTCAACTTGTTCAACTCAGCTGACTTGCTGGCTGAACCTACGAGTTTAAGATTAGAGCAATGGCTTGACCTTGGAGTGTGACTACCCTTGAAATGCTGTTTGGCACTCATTGCACCAATAAAACAAGGCTCCATTCCCTGAGTCTAACAGTTAATGAACTTTCAAGAGAGAGAGGGAACTGAGAAGGCACAAAGGAAGAAATAAGAACCTGTATCAGATTAGATGACTTGGACGAAATACTGGAACATCTTTCACTCTTTCCATCTTGAAGAAATTTTGGTACTGGATGAACAAGCCCACAATTAAGTAAGAGGATGTGGATTTTCTCAGTAGAACTAGAAAATGGCAAAAACTAAGCAGCCAAAGAGAGAACAATGAAACATGTATAAGAACAGAGAAGAATAATGATGGAACCTAAAGGAATTATTTGCAAAACCACAACTGAATTTGGAAAAAAATTACTTCATATTTCAGGTTTAATTCACTTTTTTGTAACTGAATATTATTCATTTACCTTTCCATGTTCTTTCCTCATATGAGAGATGTAAACGTCTCTCTGAGTGAAGAGCCGATCACACTCCCAACAAGTCCAGCCAGGATTAGCGACTTTTTTAGGCTCTGCTTTCTTTATGGGAGAAGGAGATTTCTTCTCCAGCTTTTCTGTTCCGTTGACAGATTTTGTGTCCTCTTTGTTGTGACTGGCTGAGTTCTGAGTTGTGGGTTTAGTACTGAGAGGCAGATTTATCCCCAGGTTTGGTGGCCCCTCAACACTTTTCAGAGTTCCATGCATAGACTACAATAAAAAAGAAAAAAAAAGGTACAAAAATAACATAGACTTATACAGTTGTATTGACAAAATGCAAAGACCCTCTGAACCAAAAGTCTTCATTTACTTCTTTGTCATACTAATATCAGATCAAATTCTTAACTGAGAGAAACATGATTAAGTAAAGGCAAGGCCTAGCATAAAGAGAAACTAGCCAACGACACTAACAGACACCATCAGTCGCTAAAGAGAAGTTTTCTTCAGTGGCTAGATATTTTCACAAAAAAAAAAAAAAAAAAAAAAAAACTTTGTAGGTTAAGTTTAAATTGCTGTTTAACAGGGAAGAAAAAAGGGCTCAAAATGTACTTTAAGTTAAGGTTAGTTTCTCGCTTTACTTACCTAATGTATTAGTTGAGCATCCTCATTTCAAACTACGTGACTAGAGATTTCCAAGAAAGAAAGGTTTTTACTGACAAATTTTGACTTGGCACGTTGGTAAATAAGACAAGAAAAGGCAACTCTGGAGGAATCAGGCAACTATATTGTTTAGGATATATTAACATTTTATGCTGAGGCTGAGTTAAGCCCTGTCTTACTCCACAGAAGCTTATGAGCTCCCTCACTTAGGGCTACATTGCTAACAGTCCTTAAATCAAAGGTGTGCAGGGCTGATGGGGTCCCCAAGACCAGGGGACAGCTAGGAGTTGTCTAACAAGCTGTTCTCAAGCACCCTGCAGCTCTTAGGCAGTGATCCTTCCTCACTGATTTATTTCTAGACTTTAAGTAAACAATCAGAAGGAAGGGAAGAACTCTTCCACTTCCTCCTCCCCCAATTTCTCAGCCAGCGTTATATGCTGGTATGATACCTGAGCCTTCCAAAAAGATGACTAGTTCAGGAAGACCTGGGCTTCAGCTGTGTGTCTGAGTTTCATATATAAACACGGACACAGCAGGAATGAGTCAGCATCCACTATCAAGGTCTCTCTCACATCTAAAAGACTTGCCCTTTACAACGACAGTGTTCTAATCATCTCATCTACTGACCTTTATTATAGTTCTCCTGGATGATATGTCTAGCCATCCCAAACATAATTATTTTTCCTACAGGTTAACCTCAGAAACAAAAACCCATGCTATACATTTTTGATTCTGAGAATATAAGAATACAAATCTGATACTCCAGTATAATACTTCAGTATCGAGTTCTTTTGTAAATCCTGTGGCTCTTGGGACTACCTGCTGGCTCTACAGCAAATATCAACCTGATCTGTAGAACATGTTCTTCTATTTAACAGTTGTGTTGAAAACAAGATCACAAGTCTTAAAAAACAGCTGGTCTTAAAGTCAGTCTTAAACTTGAGGAGGAGACAGGGAAGGGCTGATCCAAGACATTCAGAAATATACAGACTGAGTATTTTCTTTGTTTCTGAACTAGGTCATATTTACTGTTAAGAATAATCTTACATTTATGCCAGATATGTTAAATGGTCCTCTCATGCAGCAATACATTTTCTGCTTCCTTTCTTCCTATTTAACAGTTGTTAAATAGAAGAAAAGCCAGTAAGTTAAAAAACCTAAAATGTTACTAAAAAGCAAAGCACACAGGACCAACTGACTGGCTCTAAGAACAAAGATGTTGTGTAGTAAAGGAGGAGGCTGCCCTTAGTACTCCACTGCACCAGGACAAGAATAAAGAAGCATGAGGTAGGGGGGAAGGAGGTTCCTACAGTTCCAGGCAACTGAAGATTGACCTGGAGATTCCATCCCAGCTTAACTTGTCAGCATGTAAAATGTTAGTGCTGAACTTTCTAAATGTCTTTTAAATCCAACCAATACTTGAAATTTAATTTCTTACTTGAAATTAAACAAAAAGCATTAAAGCATAACATGGAGTCAACAGTGATCACAATGCAGATCACCAGCAGAACTGGGAGTGTTACACCTGCAGTCCAGACCTTCACCACCTCTTCTTACTGGCTGTTAAAAATTTTCTTGTAGCAAGCTGTTACAGGAAAATGAGACATACATTTTGCCAACAAGAAACATTCACATCTGCAGGAATTATTCTAGGTTATTTTTTGCAGCTTTCAATAATCTCCTCCTGAGCTTCTTTCTATCCCTTTCTGTTCTATTTTCATCCAGGTCTTCTCTGCCTTGATGGTTTATGTCTAGCCATACCAAACAATTACATTTTGTGCAGCTAGGCTGAGCTCTGCCCTTGTCTGGCACTCATCCTCTCCTCAAGTCCTTTTCTGTTTTTATCTATACCCTGTTACAGTTTTTTTCATTCCTCCTTAACTGAAGTCTAATTTATATTTTTCTGCTGCTGTCCCTACTTCTATACACACATCCCAAATGTAAAAGCACTAGCAATTCTCAATAAAAGCAGTAATACTGTTACTGCACATGTATGTTCTAATCCTCTAATTTTATTCTAAAAAAGTATGAATCATCTATAGTGAAACATGCTAAAAAAACACTGGTTCAAAGCACAAATACTGGCATGGAACACTACAGCCAAAAGAGTTAAATAGTGACCAAATTGTAAGTAACTGAGAATAACTTTATAATGAGAAATGCTGAGCAACCCTAATTTATGTAAGAATCGCTTCTGGCCCTAAATACAGTCAGATCATGCTCCCAAAATAGTTGTTTTCAGGTCTTAAAGAAGTAGACAGATATAACAAAACTTTTACAACAATACCTGAGTCAAGAAAAAGTAATTATATAATAAGACATACTCTACAATATATGGAATTTGCCTATTTAGTTAAAAATAGAAGCAATACAAGTAGATCAAAGGAAGCAGAAAATATATTGCTGCATGAGAGGACCATTTAAGGTATCTGGCATAAATGTAAGACTATTCTTAACAGTAAATATGAACTAGTTCAGAAACAAAGAAAATACTCAGTCCGTATATTTCTGAACGTCTTGGATCAGCCCTTCCCTGTCTTCTCCTCAAGTTTAAGACTGACTTTAAGACCAGCTGTTTTTCAAGACTTGTGATCTTGTTTTCAACACAACTTCAGAGATTTCTGAGGTTGCAAGTGCCATAGTTGAGACTAAAATGAAAAATGACGGTTTTAGCAGACAAGAAAGATGTCTGTTTTTTCCATCATTCTGTTTACAAATTTTACTAAGTCTTATGCATCACTGCAACTGAAACCCACTGAATTAAGTGCTACCATTCTGGACTGTAATACTTTGTAATGGTGTAAGTTAACTTCAGCTGCTACCAGGCTCCACATCTTAATAAGGCATAAGAAATTCAGCACTGCTAACAGATTTGGTATGCAGAAAACAAGGTAACGCAGTGTATTTAAAATACACAGCTAACAAATTATAGCCAGGGGACTGCTGATTCTTAAAAACATGATTTGCAAGGATGACAGTAAATCTTCAGTTATAAGGGTACTCATGAGAAAAGCCACTTCATTTTTTTTCAAAGCATGCATGTGTTCATGTTTGTATGTAAACACACACACATAAATAACCTCTACATCTATTCGAGAAACATACTGGTTCCTACCAGTGAATTCTGAACACAAGAGGTTTGCTTTTATAATGTACTCAGCATTCTCAGCTCCTACCAACTGCAATAATACTTAGAATACTGTAAATAAAGCTCAATACTTATTAGGATCGGACTAACTTACTTCACTATACCCATTATTATTTTGATAAAATGAGCTACTGAATGCAATGCACTGAGATATACCAAAATCAACATTCATATAGAAAAACTTGAGTTAGCGATAACATCACAGATATACTGAAGACCATAAGAAATATAACATTTTAACATTTGAGAACATTATTCACAGATTACTCTCTTGGAATTATTAACATCTCTCTCTTTCAGCAGTCATCTTGTTATTCTGTGCCTTTTTACAGTATTTTCTCACAGCATATATTGCATGACAAATGGTATCTATGAACGACAAGAGAAGATGCCTACACACCTTGATATGATCCATCATAAGCTGTTTCTGTGCATATAGAAGAGAACAGTCTGGACACTTGAAAACAGACACCTTCTGGTTTTCAATGTGCTGATCAAAGTGGCGATAGAGCAAAGGTTGTAGAGTAAACACAGTGTCACACATAGAGCATTTATATATTATTCTAAAAACAGAAGTACAATAAACAACGTCAGTCATGTTGATGATCTACTTGCAAGAGTCATGATGTTAACTTTTTTTCTCAGCAGAGATAAGATCTGACATGTTTAAGCAATCATTTCACACCACCTGAAAAAAGTTAAACTAATTCAAAACATCCTCCAATTTCAAAATATGCAGTAGAAAACCCAGAAAAATAGAAAAAAAATCATTAAAAAGTGCAAACAAGAAGCCAGAAAATAACAGCATATGCCAGTTACATGTATAACATCAACATCTGCTTAGGATACTCTGAAATTTAAATGTCTTCAGTTTCTGAACTCACATTATAACTAAAGGACAATATACCTTTTTCAGGTTGCAAAGGCAGTGTGTTTTAGGGCGTGATTGATTTGGTCATAATTGGCAATATACTTCAAGATAAATTTATTTTTGGCAATGTATATGGCTTTGAGCCTCCTGAATTCCAAGCCTAGACTCCGTTAATGCTCTGAAGCTGAAACGTCACGGGATGGCATTTCCCTGTTTTGCAATGACAAGCTGTTACGAATTTGTCTATCGAAGCAATGTAGAGACAGTACCAAACCACAACTTCCTCTCTCAAAGCATACATGACTTTTGAAATTAGCTACCTAAATCTCCCATTCTGATAGCCAATATTCTAATCAAAATTGTAACAAAAGCTATTTATGTTTTAGTAGCTATGTAACTGGTGAAGCAATGCATCTATTAATATAATTTCAGAAGTCCTTTAGAAATAGATACACTTATTAACAAGAACTAGGTAAGTACTGGACACTAAAGCATAGTCCCTGAAATGAACATGATAGCTAAAATTCTGTATCACAAAATCCTAAGAACATTATTAAACAATCTGAAAATAGTTGTATTTTTAGCAGATCCTTGTCAAGTGTCTTGTCCAACAGACAAAAAACATAGGAAACCAGAAACGTAATCCTCTGATCTAAATGCTGCAACAACTACTACACGGCAATAGTTTGAAGCTGGTTTCATTTTGCTGATGATTTTATAATGAAAAATATAGTTTAAATTGCATTCTAAGTAATTATTTACTCAATACTTTTCTTGTTGTTTTTGCTTATCTGTATGTTTGATTGTATTAAGAATTATTTTCCTGGCAACTAAAGGTGAGTAATAAGATTAGCTACGCAAACTGCAATCCTTTAATGTATCTGTTAAATAAACAGTAAATAATTCTATTCTTTCAGAAACATCACACTTTTTTAAATTTGGAAAATGAATGGAAGGAAATGACATGTGAAAGAAAAGTAACAAAGAAATTCGCTATAGATCATCAAATGAGAGAGAAATCTAATCCATTAGCCATCAGCAGTGGTAGTATTTCAGAAAAAGTTCAGCTAAAATAAAAGAAACCCAACAACAGGTGCTCAGTACAATGACAGGCACTTCCTCTGCGAAAGCAGTCTTCCTAATCCCATCAATTAGAGAGGTTGATCTCTGTCCTAAAGAATGACTTTCCATGAAAAAAACCCAAACCCAACAAACCCTGCTTGCTAGAATGCTGTATTTTCTCATTATCCACATAAATGTTCAAAGTCCTTTCTATATCCCTCTAAGAAATTATCATCAATAGTACATTGTTCAGGAGCTCTAAAGATCACTGCACAGTGTTTTGAGATGACAAGAACAGGGACATTGCTTCAATGTCCAAGCCATTCAATGCATCCAAATATTTGAAATAATGAAAAATAGTACACTTAATCACATTAACTGTGAAAAGTATTATTTTTGTGGTATATCAAGTGGTCCCAGTTTCTCACATAAGCCAAGATAAATTTATTATTTACACAGCATCTTCTGAAGACCTACATACTATTGTACTGCTTTCTGTGGTGAACCCTCTGCATGGGATGATGTAACTCTGCACAAGCACAGCAGAATGCACCTGCTAGCTTCAGTTAGTGACCACGCTGTACTTAGAAAGGGGAGCCCCCTCCCCATCCTCTGACCCTCCACACTACTGACCCCCCACATTACTGTCCAGAAAAGCTTCTTAAACATAATTCAAAACAAGTATTTCAGTCTGTCACACTATTACTGATCTATACCCCTTCAGAATCCTAACTTCTTGGATAATTTCCGTATGAAAGGTATTAAAGAGCTTGCCAGAAACAGGAAATGCTTCTTGATAATAACTGGTAAGAAAGAAATTCCTAAAATGCAGTTTTGCCTCATGTACCTCTCATCAATATAAACCCATATATCTTACTAATAGTTTTAACTTGAGATCGTAAGAGACAACTTCTGGGGAAAAAAGTCAATGGATCACCACGCCAGCCGGTCAGCTGAATTAAGCACAGACAGAAACAGAGAGAACGTGAACATTCTCCAGGCACAGTGCTGTTACAAGCACTCTTTGTGGGACGCACTGTTTAAGCTCCAAGTGTAGAAAGAGTCAAAGGATTCACTGTACAAGGGATCATTTCCCTTGGCCACAGAGCACACAGAGCTACTGAGCATCTAAGCACACTCCACCATCTTGGTCCCATCTTAGCAGAGCAGCTAGAGATAATTTAAAGCAGTGATTTTACTGTCAGCCCTCTTCACTGCATCCAAGAAAAAAAACCCCAGAGTTTCGTCAGAAAAGTACTTGCTGCAGTTCTGTAGTGAATCTGCTTGTAACATCACAGGCTAGAGCTGGTACTAACCACACACATTCCCTAATCCTGGGGCACCAAATATTATTCTTCTGTCCCTTGCATCCTGTCTCTTAAAACACTGTCTTACATCTCCATCAGCAACTTTGTCCAAAAGTCAGGAAGTGTCAAGCCTGATTACTGACTAAGCAGGAAAACAAGCCGAGGCACAAGACTGTATCACAGCCTTGTCCCTGGCAGGGTGATTTTCACCCTTCTGGTTCATTGCTCACATACCACTGCTAACATCCAGAATCCCAGCATTTTGGTGCCTGTTGCTGAGCAGTTGATCCCATGGCTAGGTGCTAAAGAGACATGAGTAACGTTACATGTTCTGGGTTACATTCCAAGATGTAAATAAAGACTGGCACAATTAAAAATAATTCACTGATTATTTCATGGTGCATATTTCCATTAGAACCGTACCTTGCAAATAAAATTAGATGCAAGAAATTAGAAAACCTGCTTTATCGTCTGTGGAGGAACTAGACAGTGATCTCAGCTGGAATGATTTCAGGTCTGTAGTATATAAATTTATCATTGCAGGGTTACATAATTAATCAAGTAAACTACAATCTACTATATGCTTCAGATTCTTATTGTATCTAAAGTAAGGAACAGAGGACTACAGAATTGCTGAGGTTGGAAGGGAGCTCTTGAGGTCAAGGCCTCGCTCAAACAAGGTCAGCTAGAGAAGGCTGCCCAGGACCATGTCATCCAGTTGGGTTTTGAATGTCTCCACAGACTGAGACTCCACAGCCTTTGGGCAACCTGTTCAGTGTTTGACCACCTGCACAGTAAAAAAGTGACTTTCTGTGTTCAGGTGGAAAGTCCTGTGTTTCAGTTTGTGCCCACTGCCTCTTGTCCTGTCTCTGGGTGCCACAGAGAAGAATCTGGCTCCCTCTTCCTCAAGCCTTCCCATATAGTATTTATACACATCGATAAGGTCCTCCTGAGCCTTCTCCTCTCCAAGCTGAACAGTCCCAGCTCCCTCAGCCTCTCTTCACGCGGGAGATGCTCTCGTCCCTTATTCATCTTCGTGTCTCTTTGCTGGACTTGCTCTGGTATGTCCATATCTCTCTTGCACTGGGGACCCAGCTCTGGGTCCAGTACTGCAGCACTGTCCCAGCAGCACTGAGCAGAGGGGAAGGATCACCTCCCTCGACCTGCCAGCAATGCTCTTCCCAAGCCCTTAATGACCACATTCCAAGTCATGCAGCACTCGTGAGCACTGACAGGAGAAAGTGAATCTGCTACAAAAAAATCTGACATCTTTCTGAATTTATCACGTATAAAAATTGTATCTCTAAGAGCTGAATATTATGTATTTTCTATGTGAGCTAAAAGACTTTACTCTGTTTTCACAGAAGCACAAGAACTACCTGGGAGAGATCCAAATTTCAGACAGGTTTCTGGGAAAAGACTGTACTCTGTTAAATTCATACCAACATACACGATAGTATGAGTTGTGACTATATCCACTTCGAGTATTTCTTTCAGTCACATCAAAAGCATGATTTTCAAGCCTAAGCACATGCAACTGAGTATGCTTGCTTGTTTTGTAATTGGAGTAGTCAGTATTTAACATGTAATAGCTTAAAACCTGTCCAAAGCTTATAGGCAGTTATAGTTAGTCAGGACATAATTTACAACCACATCAATTCAACACGACACTTTAGTAAGGCAGGCAGTTCAACTGCAATCACACCGCCAGGGCAGTTACTCCATAACTGCTCCTGCCCCACAGTACACACCAGAACAGGCATGGTACATGGACTTTTTCACTTTTCAAAAATCCAGTTAACAAATTCATATTTTATCTTAGAATAAATACAGGTGTTATCTCACAGAAAAATACTTTCATATCACATAAAAGATGTTTAGTGTTTTGAAAGCTTCTGCATCAGAGTATGGTATTTCTCCTTCCCATAATTTTTTTCTCTAAAAAAATGGTACTTGTGGGATAATATACTTTGTACCAATAGTACAGTATATATCCATAATCTGGCTTGATAAACAAGAATTTCTCCAATATCCAAAAAGAGATCAGCCATGAAAAATATCTTTGTACTGCTCCTATGAAGTTACACTGTTCACTGAAAAAAAAAAAAAAAAAATCACATACAAGCTTTGGTTTCCCACAAGAACTGTGCAGCATCTTAGGTACGCTACAGGAGAGAGCTTCACAAAGTTGAAAGACAAGATAGCCATCCATTTCCCTATATTAAAATAATCTAATTTCATCCCACTGAGAATCACTGCTATTAAACTTCATTTTTCATACACCAAATAGTTTACTGTATCTGTTCCCAAACAACCATTTGTAATGTAACTGCAAGTCACACAGTTCCAGTAAATGCCAGAGGCACATAGCCATTTACCCAGTGAGCCTAATTCCTGTAAACAAAAAAGTGTGAACTAGTGAAGAGTCCCTCAGGACTGGACTGGCCTCAGCCCACTTACAGGACAGAAGTAATAAATCTTCCCCAGCCACCTCAGCATGCTGACACACTGGGCCTGGTTTTCGGCTGCATCTCTGTGATGCCCAGGGGGACACCGAGGAGTCAGGTTCCATGGCCATGCAGAGTTCAACGATGTCTGCCTACCGGGGGAGGTTTGAAACTCACGTTCAAGGGTCAGACACCTTCTATACACTCAATGAAAACTCGAAAGCTTCACATTTCCAAACACAGAAGGCTATTCTACCCTTCTTTTCATTTAAAATTTTTACTTCAGAAGAACAAAAATTTAACTGAGCTTATGTAGACATATCTATAGTGTTCTATGACTATATTACATTCCTTCTTTTCAATAATTAATTTGTTAAGTTTTCAAAATGTACACAAGTCATATGTGACATAGCTGCTAGGTAATACGGTACAGATAAACCAGCAGCAGCAGACTGGTCAAATGTGAATGTATTTCCTCAAATACAACAGCACTTGTCAGCTCTACTTGGCACTGGTCAGGCCACACCTGGACCACTGTGTCCAGTTCTGGTCCCCACAGTTCAAGAAAGACATGGACAGCCTGGAGAGGGTCCAAAGGAGGGCCACGAAGACGGTCAAGGGGCTGGAGAACCTGCCCTACAAGGAAAGACTGAAGGAGTTGGGTCTCTTCTCTCTGGAGAAGGCTCAGGTGGACCTCATCACAGTGCTCCAGTACTTAAAGGGCAGCTATGGAGAGGACAGAGGGTCTCCCTTCACAAGGAGCCACACGGAGAAGACAAGGGGCAACAGGTACAAATTGCACCAGGAGAGGTTTCATCTTGATACAAGAAAGAATTTTTTTACAGTGAGAACAATCATTCACTGGAACAACCTCTCCAGGGACGTGGTGGAGTCCCCATCACTGGAGGCTTTCAAGATGCGACTTGACAGGGTGCTAGATAGCCTCATCTTGGCTCCCTTTCCCCCAAAAGGCTGAACCCAATGATCGTTCAAGGTCCCTTCCAAGCTGGGCTGTTCTGTGATTTTAACACAGAACGTTACAGCAGATAAACCAGGATTTGAACAATGTCACAAACATTTGATGTCAACTTGACCAAGATATATGATAAATATCCTCAGAAACCAACTAATTCAAACAACAAAAACATTTCCTTTTAAAATTGCTACTGAGTAGCAGAAATACATGTAGCTAATTCTGAGGAAAACTACCGGTCCTGATAGCTTGAAATAGACCTTACTAAATGGTGAAACAGCAGTCGATGTGGGCATCTGGAGTGTCGGTGGCAACACTGGACTACCTACAGATGCTTGTGAAATGGAAGCAAAGAACTTCAAACACTGCAAAGACTGGGAAAATCCTACTAGTCACTCTGCATGCATTTAAGACAGCATCTTGATTAAAACTGGCAAATTTAAAGAAAATACCACTTCTTCAGAGGAATACTCAACTATGGATTTTATGATTTATTACAATACAATAGTACTTCATAAAATTTTATTTTGGTCTTTTTATAATCAAAATAAATTTGTAAAAGAATACAATTATAAACACATCTATATGGAAACAAAACTAATGCAAAATACTTAATTCATGAAGTTGATCAGAAACAGTCAGCAGATCCAAGCACAATTCAAGAAATCTTCTGCGCTTTTCATATGTGAAGTATCTTACACAAATGGTGATCTTAATCTTTCCGTTTTCTCTAATGAAAATTATGGGAATCTGAAACAAGTTTTAGATTAAATGTTGGTATTTCAAAGCCTCTCACTGAAGATACCATCCTGAATTAAAACAAGGAGTCATTTGTCACTGGGTGGAAATGTCTTAATTTGGTATCAGACACAGTAAGTTTGTTGCCATTTTGCTTTAATGTAGGTTTAAACACCCTAAAGAATACATCTCCTGTTAATATGTTAGAAGAAACAGTGATAAACCAAATTCTTCTGAAATCTGGTTATTACACTACATGGTACCTTGTTTCTCTCATCTGCCTTCTATTTTCTCAAGTCTGCAAGTTGTTAAAATGTACCAGTGTGCTCTGCACGCTCCAGAGAAACAACATGGAGTTAAATACTTGAATATTTACCCTCAGTACTGCACTCGTACCAACAGAGGAGAAAGGCAGAAGAAAAAGGTCTGCAATGAGAAGCCATCAGGCTAAGGCCGATGAGATTTGAAGCCTAATTTTCACATGCATTGGCACCTGCAGCTCCCACTGGCTTCAGTGGAGGCTTTGAATGTGCAACATCTTTAAAACAAAGACCCTGAAGCCGAGATCCTAATTGTGCCCTGTGTTACCATCTTCAGTAAACCACTGTGTTTGTGCACAACTTTCCTAGCTACAGAACAGAATCAGTTCTGCTTGAATTCAGAAAAAAAGAGATTATGCATTGGAAAAAAAGCTTATGTAAACAGCTCTATAAACGCATCTATTTTGATGTGGAGAGTCAAGGCTGGAAAAGGTTTAAAGGCTGGCGCCTCTCACTTAGTAACACTGGAATTGCTCTCCTTGAGACATGACCATATTAGTGAAGCAAAAACATAGCTTACCACTCCCAAACCTATGGCTTTCATGAAGAAAAATCTAGTAGACAGAAAGAGAACAGATCCTGCAAGAACACTGCCCGACAAGCGAGCGGCTGCCTGATCAAAAGAACAGGGTACCACAGGTGGCTGTAGCCCGCGAGAATTGCCTGAGGTTAGCCCACAGATTACAACTGCCACTTCTAAAACCATCTCTCACAAAGACCCACCCTGACCACTGTGAACTGATGGCACTGAAAGAATTAATCTCCTGAATTCACCCTGATGACTATCTGTGAGCATGTAACAGAAAACAAATAAAATCACTTTTCCCCACTTTTCCAACCAGATGCTATGAAAATCACTGTGTAAGTCCTGAGGAGTCTTAGCAGTTCTTTCTGGAATCACATTATCTTAATTCACAGTAAAAATGCAGATGAGCTAAGCAGATTAAAAGATGTGAACGAGCAACACGCTAGCTGCCCGTCTAAATAATTTTTCTGAATACTGTATTACTCTCCTGTAGCGTGCAGCATTTAAAGAACTGCTATTTCTATGTTCATGGAAATTTAACCTTTGCCAAATAAATTGCCAGCTAAAAACTCATGAAAACATTACACAAACTCCACATGTTGCCAACAGGATGACAAACTGTTGGTTGTACAGTATGTGACTTTTAAGATTATAAGCACAGGACAGAATGCAATTTCACAAGTTATTAAAATGTAGGCAAGTGCAGTAGAAGATTAATTTTGCTTACTTTGGTTCGCCTATCTTGATACCCGGGTGTTGTGTATAGGCATGGGAGTGTGTGCTGGGAGCAGATTTAAATGCCATGGGACAGATAGGACACTTGTAAAAGACTTCACAGTGACAACCTTGAATATGAGACTTGAGCGCCGCCACATCAGAGTATACAACATTGCAATGCACGCAGCTGCAAAAAGAGTGGAAAAGAGTCAGTTCAGCCTAGCCCAAAGCAGTACTGAATGAAATGGAATCAACACTGATTTTCAAGCAAGTGGAAGAGATAAACATATATATACACAACTGGATAAAACTATGTTATTCCATTAATTTAAACAACCCAGTAAGAATCAACATAAACAGAGATTTGCATATCAGAAAGTAAGAAAAAAGAAATTTCCCAAATTTAATTTGAAAATCTAAGAGATATGAAGTCAGAACATGTTATTATGGCATTACAACAAAACAGAGAGAAGGGTTAACAGAGGAATAGTCTATTGATTGTAAAAAAGAATGCTTAAATCCTCTGCAAATTTGTGAAGTGATTTTACCAAATGCATTTTTATGACATGCAGTGGATTGTATAAGGTATGCCACAGCAATTTAGAAACTACCACCAAAATGGAAAACCAGTAAGGAAAACATTTTCACCATTTCCCTTGTTTAGATTTAATGAAGACATACTGGTAATGATTTTCTGTACAAGTAATCAAATCAGCACTTGGATTTAAAAACAAAAAAAAGAGTAATTTAAACTCAGGACAACTAAACTGAATCTCTACAATCAGATCAATCTATCAGATTGGAATTCTGAAAATATTTTTCAAAAACATACTTCTGCTGTGTCGAAAATTTGTGACCCTTCCGCATCTATTCTAAAATGAAATGATTAAAAACATGGATTAATATTAGTACATAAGAATTTCTATACACAATGGTCCCTTTTTGTGCCATACATATCCAGTACTAAATGCTACCAAATAAGTTCAAGAACATAGTGCAATAAGCAATTACAAAATAACCTGTCAAATGAACAAATTTCTTATTGACCACTATTTTGCAGTAAGAGTTTTACAATTTAAACATAGAAGGCCTCTACCCTTCCAAAATTTCAATTTTGGCACCTATCATGTAGTATGATTGTTGCCGTATAAACATCAAATTGTTTTTGGATACTCTTTCAATGCCCTGATGATAGCAATAAAGCAGGAAATACAGCTATACATTGCATTCAAGAATCCCATTTTCCTTTTAAAATGTATCACCTTTGAATTTTATGAAATGTCATCCTTTCTTTCTGAGCACTTTATTTACATTCTTAATACTATTAATCAAGTTTGTATCTATCTAGTCTCCACTTACCAATGCATTTTCTAAAGTAAATGGTCCTTGTCTTTTTGGGGTCTGTTAAGATCTTCTCTGCTTATACAGAGATGAACATTTCTTCAGAGCGGTACAAAGCATGATCCTCTCATTTACAGATCTACTCCTAAAGTGTCACTTCAAGAGAGCTGGGTCGCATTTCTCGCCTCCCCATCCCATCCTGTCTGGACTTTATTCTCTAGTGATGCAACACAATAAATGATCCTCAGCAATTAAACAGTTCTTAAGGACCAAGCCTTCCTTTCTTGGACTGCTCTAACAGCTTTCTACCAAGCCTTCCTTTCTTGGACTGCTCTAACAGCTTTCTTGTTTTCAATTTGGAAGGATGCAATTAAAATTAAGGTTGAAATTTTCAGCTGATTTAGTTCAGACAACTAGCCTAAATCGCTGAAATCAAACTGAACTCCCTCACAGAGGTCCTTTGGAAAGGCAAGACAGGTTATGCTGTTCCTGAAGCAAATGCACCATGGTGATAAGGAGATGCTGAGGAGTCTAGGAAGGAAGACATTAACTTTCCAGGTACTGCTTTTCTTTCCCTAGGTGTTTTTTGTTTTGTCTCACCATATACAGAAATTCTGACTTAGTGTGACATGAGATGTTTATGATACATCTTGAAAAGTTTGGTAAATTTAGTTTAGATTCACAGTGAAAGATTTATGAGTCCTCTGGTGTTACTGGTGCAGGCCAGGAGTCCCTGAAGATGATTCCGTGTACAAACCCAAGAGAGACAGACTACAGGGAAGGCAAATAGAGTGGAGGTAGCAGATGTAAGAAATGTAGGACAAGACAGACTACTGCTTGGGAGAAAAGAATAAAAGAACCCAAAGAAATGCAAAGAGCTGAGAGCTATGTCAGGCCATGGATTCAGTCTGAAAACTGCCACAGCAGCTGGCTTGATGCAGTAAAAATGCTTTCTTCCCTTAGTGGAAGATTTCACAGCCATCCTAGTAAATGAACTTGTGGCACCTTAAAGGGGAAGAAGCTGCCTACTGGTAAGATTTTAAATCACCATTCTCCAGTCAGACAGGATGGAAATGTTTCAGGAGTGCTGAGCGAATCTCGGCTGTACAGGTTGCTCTTCTGATCTCTTGCTGTGCTGCTGCCTGCCATTCAGTGAGTGTAAAATTCTAGGATAAAACAATTTTTCAAGCCTTTCAAAACTTAACATTTCCATGAAATGCCTCTGATCCCCATTTGCTCAGTGAGTTGCCATTACAGGGAAACTTAAAAATAAAAGGGAAACCGAAGAGTAACAAAGAAGAACCAAAAGACCAGGCTGTTTGAATGGGAAAGGTAATTTTCAAGCGATGTAAAGCTGACGAATCTTGACTTTCCACAGAAAAGAGAGCAACCAGACAGATGCAGTATGCCCATCAGCATCTTGACAATAAATTCTGGCAGTAAATAATGAAAATGACTGTTCTACCAGAGAGAACAATCTAAAATTCACTGTTTTGAAAAAACTCAGAAGGTTTTTTTAAGAACCTGAAATTAAGAAAATACATCTGAATTCTCTAGACCTTATAAACTGTGAAGTCCTGAATCTGACATTTTATGGCTGGATGAGATCAGCTAATATTCTGATTTAACAACATACAAAAGAGGATGCCCAAAACAAAGCAGAATCCTAATGTGGTATTTATTCCAAAATTTGTAGTACTAATACCATTGTTGCCATGACAACCTCAAACCCATGAAGCTGTACTCTACAAACAATGCTTATGAAAATGGAAAATTACTTTTAAAAGCATAAATTATACATAAATTGACAACAAAAGTAATCATTATACTGACCGAAAACCAACTCTTCGGGTATAATGCAGGCAGTTCTTAGTGACATGAGTCTGGAAGTGGACAGATCTGCAGATTGCTCCACATTCTGGACACGTGTATGGAGATTTATGCTGATGAATTCTCTGGTGTGATGCAAAACTGCACTGGTTAGGAAGCAGCATCTGGCAGATATTGCATGTCTTCTAAACGATAAACCAAAATAGATGAAACAAAAGGTTTGGTTCAGCTATACGTAACGTCTTGTGTCAAACACTGTAATATATCAAATAAAAGGTTAAATGTTATGGCTGTGATGTGAACCAAAAGAAGTAGGCAACTACTAAATGCAGGCTCTACTGACAAATCTTGTAGGACAGAGCTGGCAGGTACTGGCAACCAGACATCTGGGCATTCTGGGCCATTCTGACACAACAAAGCTCTTTCATGTATCACTGACCATGGGAGATGCATGTTGGTTTCTATAATTTTACTTAGGTGCCTCACAAAATTACTTTAATAGTGCAAGGGGCCTAAGTACAACTTGAGAATCAAATCTTATGGTTTTAATTCAGTGCACCACATAAAGTAAAAAAAAAAAACCCAAACCCACCAAATATACTATCTTCACTTTCTTTAATCCTTGCTCCTGATGAATTCTTACGGTAATATCCATAATACCAATAAAATGGAATATTATCAGGCAGAAAGTGCACAGATAACTTCAAAATATATTTCTCAGGCTAGAATACATTATCTGCATTATATCGACATATTGTGCATCTGAGTAAAAACTAGAGATATAGAAAATATTTACAAAGCTCTTCTTTACAGGGCAATCTTTCTACATGCAGGAGTAACCTACTAAACTAATTATTTTCTTGTATTTTGTTACACAAAAATAATTTAAAAAAATCTTCCAACTACATGTTGACTATACGCCAAATCAGAAACACTGAAATTTTTTGGGTGCTTTGTGCCATTTTTGGGATGAAATGCAAATGATATAACCCAGCTGTAAACTGGCTTCACTTTTGCTCACAGTTGCTTTCCATCACTGGAGGGCACAGAGAGCCAAACCTGTAAAAGCATTCCAGAAAATGTTTCATTTACAATAATACATCTCTCAAATCTCTAAGCAGATACCTGACATCCTGTATGGAGCTACGATTCTGTTTAACTCTGATCATGAAAGCTGCTTCACTGACTTCAACAGAAACACTCATGGTCTCAAAGTTAAGCACAAATACAAGTCTTTGCAGAATAGGCCTTTTAACTCAACCTCATTTTTTAAGACTGCCTTGTACGGCTTTTCAAATTATTATTATTTCTTATGACTTAGGACTTATGAATCTCACCAGTGACTTACGAAGATTTAAAAACAAAACCAAGACTCCTTCATGGCATGGGTATTTTTTTAACATGAGGTTTGCGTATTTTTAGAAATGCTGTCCATAGGAGTCTTGCATATGTAGTCATGTGTACATTTTGCAAGAATATAGAACAAAGCAAGATCTCCAGAGCTGCATTATAAATTATTTACTAACCTATGTATGAAGAAATCCTGAAATAAAAAATTAAGAACTAATCCCTTTCCTCATGGTAAAACAGTTTCTTACTAAAACCCAGGCGCTTTACAAAGTCACCCCCTTCTTCCAATTTAGGCAACTCTCCTTTAAAACTCTTTTATAAAACAGTAAGATCCAGATAATATAATAGCAGAGTCAAAGCTACCATTGTAGAAGAAATAGTACAGTTATACAAATAGCTTTCATAGGAGTCTGACTTACTAGTATTAGCATCTATACCAGTAAAAAACCCCCACCCTATTCCCATTTAATCAACAGGAGACAGACACTAACTCCAAAGACGGAAGGCAAAAGCCTTTATAGTCACTGCAAAAAAGGATTACCTTTTTTTTCTAATAGAACACAGTTTAATATCAAGGTCTAAAGTAACTTAATTGCTTTAGCATTTTTACAATACTACTAATACTCTAAGAACAAGTATATTTTTGTATTACAATCTGTACACTCTATGTTTATTCTTTTTTCCAAAATAGCTTATTCTAAATGCTTTTTTTGAGGGTGCATGCAAATACTTCGATTCTTTTTTAAAAAACAGTAATTTGAAGTAGAAATGTTAGCATGAGACATCTTGTGGTCACACATACAGAAGGAAGAAGTGTATTTTCATATGGTTCACTTTTAATGTTTACTCTGTGAGCATAGTGGCCTGATATGTTTGAAAACAGTGTCCATCCAAACATAGTTCTCAAATGTCCTGACAACAGCAAGATGGCAAAATGCAAAACATTAAAATAGAGGAAGTAAAGAAAATCTACCATTACTCAAATTCAGGTTCAATATTAACACTATTACCAGCCTAAAAGATTAGTAAGTAGCATGGATACATTTACTACCCTTGCAGAAGGCTTTGCCCGAGGTGAACTACCTGCGGGGATTTTGAACTATCAACCTGATTAGAGTAAGTCTGAAACTGTGATCAGACACATACAAATATTCACCCTGAAATGCCAAATATTTGTCCTCAACTGACCAAACAGCTATGGCTGGAACCACCGACTCATGTCCTCAAAACTGAACAGAACTGGTTTGGGATGCTGACTTTGTCTTCAGCTCAGGCTTAAAGGCAAAATCTTAACTAACCACAACTCTTATTTAAAATGTGCTTGCCACATTTACTTGGCTTCAGTACCATTCCTAGTCTATCTTTTACCATTTATGTATTAATAAGCAGCAGTGTAATACTGAAGACTCTGGAGTATTTGATTATGTACGAAAACAGCAAAACACTTCTTACTCAAATAAAAGAAACATGTGGGGTTTTCATAGTCCTTCCAAAGCCTTTCATCTGCAGCACTACAAAAGGAAACCGGGATGCTACGCCACAAAAGAGCCATACAACATAAGCGTATCTCCCCGATATTGCAACAAGCAGCCTGCAAGATTCACCTGTAATGCTAGTAACTCAGACTGACACAAAATACTAATAATGCTGTTTGTCAAGGCCGCTGGTTTGCTATTTTGATGAGTACAGTAAAATGTTTAATTGTAACTAATTACAGTAGAACAAGAAGAATCTACTGTGAAATTCTGAAATTCAGCATGTTTGCTTACCATTTTATTTTGGGCTTAAGGTGGCATTAACTTCCAGTTCTCTCATTCCAACCCATACCAAAATAAAACACAGTTTGTGAAAATCATCACCTGCCTGCATTTAAAGTCAAAGTTTCAGAAAAAAAAGGGTTAGAAGAAAAAATGGTGGAGGTGGAAAATAAAGATACACAAGAACTATGAGTATGAAGGGAAATGAGCTATGTAGTTTCCATGGGAGCTACACACTTATATCTGTAAATACGATGAACATTAACATTAATTAGCCCAGGTTTGCTGCTTTTTTTTTTTCCCAGTAAGTAGATGAGGGTTTCATTCAGCCAGGAAACCTGTCAGTAAGTGGTCCCATTCCCTTTAACAGGAATATTAATGGAAGTAAAATATTACAGAAAGGTAACAACTTTATAGGGAACATCTTTTAATTGCTAGGGCTGGTTTACTATTGTTTATTTCAAAAGAAACGATCTACCTTATTAACAGGAGTTTAATAAGAACAAGAAGTAACAGCTACTTACTGCTTAGAACAGTATACATAGAACAGTATACAATTTCCATTTCAAGAGCAATTAGGTGGGCACTAGAAAAAACAGTAAGCTGCAAATAATAACTTTTTTCCTACTATTTGTTTGCAAAATCCAAATGTTTGGTTTTTTCTTTCTTCCTTCCTTCCAAAGTGAAAATATCAATTTAATCTAACTTTCCTGTATTCCTCCCCCCCATAATAATGGTAGTTTTACAACAAAAAGCCAGTGCCAAGCACTAAGAAGGAAAACAGAAGTCAGAGTTATTTCTCATCCAAGCTTTTCAAGGGGTAACATATAATGAAAAAGTACGAAAATGTTTATTAATAAATGCCTATACAGAGTCTTTCTTCAGCAAACACTACCCTTGCAGCAATGCGTGGGACAAAAAATGGACAAAAAGATAACTTATCAAGAAAGCAGGATGTATTGCTCTCACTAAAGCAACTGTTCAGTTAAACAGTTTCTACACTGGGCATTTCAGCATAGCTGCAACACTACATTATGTAATAAAACACAACGTTAAAAAAAACAGCACAGAACTGAAAACTGCTGCTTGATATATGAAAAGGACTAAGAAAAATATGAAGTTAACTTTTAAAAGGATATTTCAACATAGAACATTTAAAACTACATTTATTAAGAGTATTCTTTTAAAATGGAACAACATGAAAATAGCTTCTTTTCCCCCAGTGCTTTGTACCAACAAGGCTTTTTTTTTTTTTTTTTTTTAAAAACTGGAAATCCATGGCCTAGTAAGGAGATATTAAGGCCTTGTCCATACATTAGCTCTTAAAAGAGAGCAAGTTTCCAACAGAAGACACAAACACATTGACAGGTAGTAGGCAACGCTGATTGCTTTCTGTACCTTCATGAGCTTTCCTCCCTGAACAGCATTATCTGTGTACCCATACTTATCCTTCCACCTAACTGCAGTTATATTTTGACATTCTATGAAGATCTCAGTTGCTTTCCTGTAGTAAATCACCAGGGTAAACAGTATCTAACAGGACATGCATAGAGAGCAAACTCAGCAGCAACAGGGCAAAAGCACCAGACAGAGGTAGCAGAAAAGGGCAAAAGGTGTTTCTACAAATCTGTTTAGTTTACCTGTCCATACAGAAAGCGAGTACATCACTTCTTTATCCTTGTTCTTCTCTATTTTTTTTTCATTTTATCCTTACCTCATCCTCCCAACCTATTCTCAGTATATTTGTCTGTCTCTCATCCACTTGCTTTATCTTGGCACCTTCTTAATTGCTTGATTTTATAGTACCAAGAACAACAGGGTTTTCACAAGGACTACTGGATCTTATCACACCAAATGATACCTAATGGACCTATTACGGAAAAAAAGATAAATCTAACACCAATAAGCACCAGCAAAGCAGTTAGCTAAAGAACAACTACCAAGTACTAAGTAACTCGAGCTGGTGCTGAATATACTCATGGTCAGCCATCAGAGACTGTTCGAAACTGCAGAAAGATCTGACGGAATACATACTGCTAACTTCTGATAAAACGCTTAAACACACTCGCTTTACATAGGCATATCTGTAGTATCTTACAAATAGAAATTCACCCACATGGCATTTCACTGTGAATCCAGGCAATTTCAGCCCAAGTCCGCTAGCCAGTTAGTAAAGTAGGAGCTGAGGCGGAGCCACATAATCCATATAGTCAAGATTATTTCCACATTCAAATCTCTTGACATTACTACCTGTAGTGGTGGGTGCAGTTTAACTGCTTCATGGCCACAGAACAGGTCTTAAGTTTAGTAAAGAGATTCTGACAGGAACCTGTCTGCACTTCTATGACTAATGGATTTTTTCCTACCTGCAGGACTTAAAAACCTTTTTCCTGTACACTGCTGTGTAATTCCCAGGAATATTCCTTGGGGTGCTTCTTCTTACCAGTCTGAGCATGTTTGCAGGTTTTCAGGTTCCCACATAGCAAGAATCTGCAACACCAAGCTCTACTGAATGCTTTGAAACACACCAGAATCCCTTTTAATTGGCACGCCCCAACAGAAATCCAACTGTATCATTTAATTAACAATCTTAACTCTTATAGGATTATAAAATACATCGCACACTGATTAATATTAACTTTTATTGAATGACGTGTTTCTTTCAGATTAGGCCACATACATTAGTAAAGAATTTTAAAATGGTTTGTAAGTTTAACTCACAAGCAATCGTAAGAGGAAAGGAAAGCCAACACAAGTAAACAAATGGTCACACAGCAAGAAATGCATGCCAGTGAACACCACTTTTCAATTCTGTTTAAGAAAGACTTGAAGAAAACAGCATGCATATCCTTTTGGTAGAATCAGTGTGCCATTTATTCATTGCCTAGAGTGCCTGTAGATAAGAGGAATGCCTAGCTCACTTATGGTGCTATATGAAAATAATAAAAACTGACAACAAATCAGGAATGAGTCACTTAAAACTATCATTCAGATTGAATAGGTGGGCTGTTAATGAGGGTGCCAATTAAGTGGATTCCACAGGATACTCAAATTCCAAAGCACAGAAAGAATCATTAATAATTCTTAGTAAAGACCATTATTAATTTCAGTATTAAACTGTTCAGCTGTAAGAAAGCTAATGCTAAATTTTAGCAAAAATATACAGTGTAAATTTCAGACTTCAGGGCCTAAAGAAATTCTAAGAAAACTCTTATTTAAAAAATGTTGACATTCACTATGTAAGTGCTTGCACGATTTTTGTGGTTTTCATTTATACTTTTAATCATGGAGGTTCAGATAATTAACAGCTAAATGAAAGTAAAAACATATCCAAAGTCTCCTAGGCTTATAGATGAAACATTGGAATTTAAACATATGATACTCTACTTGTCCACTTGTGTCTGCAGCCTGCTGGAAATGAGTTGCAAGAGATGTCTCATCTTGGAAAACTTCATTACACTCCAAGCACTTTAGACTATGTCTACAGAGTTTTGATGGATCTTCATCTAGTGGCATAGCTGGAATGACAGGTGTACTTGCTGGGGCTGATATTACTGTCCCAGTTATGCCAGACTGTATCTTTGTTACAGTATGTGTGCCAACTCCCACAGGGCTTTGAAGCATAGATGTAGCAGTATTGCTTGAAGGAGATGCTATCATTTGATCTGCTGGGACTGGTTTTAAAATCAGGTGTGAACATTGCATTACAACTCCTTTTTCCTTGTGTCCACGAGCATGGGAAAGAAGACTGCATTTATTGTAGAAAACTAAATTCTTTGTACAATGATTACATGTCACTTCAATTCGCACGCTCCTCCTGTCATAATGCTGGGTCAGGCTCTTCTCAAGAGCAAATGAGTCACCACACTCCAAACACTTGTAACCTCGTGTTGGTAACGTTATTCCGGCATTGGCAGGGGGACTAAGGTTTGGGATGTAAACTGGTACGGGATTGACACTACTCAGCACCTTATTGAATGCTTCCACTACAGAACTTTGTAGAGATGACACCACCTGGACTCGAGACACTTTTTTAGAAGGCTGTGAGGCTGCTGCAGAAATTATTGCCTGCTTTATTTGTTGCTGAGGTTTCGTTAGCACTTGGCGGAGTTCAGAGGTGGTTTGAGCACCTTGAGGCAGAAGATTAAGGTTGGCAAGATGGACTGTCTTTGGCACAAGTTTAGCACTGGCAAGGCTTGATGCTGGCACCACAACAGTCTGCTGTTGTATAGCATTGGCAGCTTTTATAATGGCGCTACTGGCACTCTGCACTGAAGCAGCAGATATTACAGTGGCTTTCACTGTAGTATTGTTAGCAAGCTTCAAATTAATAACTTGTGAACCTGCTGTTTTAACTGCTGAAACAGGGAGAAAGGCAGTAGCCACAGGTTTGATAGTGACCTGTTTTGGTGCAAGTTCTGCAGATGCAACTGCATTGGTGACAACTGTGGACTGGAGAGGAGCTCTAGGAGGAGAGGAAAGAACAGCAGCAGAAGTTGGCGAGGACAGGAGAGATGTCATGGAAGTTACCATAGAAGCAGTCTGCTCTGGCTTTTTACCAGAGTCCAAATCAACTTCTGGCAACACTCTGGTAACAGTTCTCTTGATCTCCCCAGAAGAAGTCTTGATGGTTTTTATGCGAACTTTAGGAATTGCTGGTGTTGACCCTGCAGGAGAAGATGGAGACCCTTTGCTACTGTTTTCACTTGATACACTTCTGGGACTATCAGGTGGTTTGATAGATGGCTTTTTAGCACCATCAATGAGACTCTGAGATTCAGGTGATTTTTCAATAGCCTGGGGACTTTCACCCATGTCTTTTGGTAATGGAGAAGATTCTCCTGAATTAGACTGTAAATCTTTACCAGTATCTGTAGCTGCCTTTTTAGCACTCAGTGCTGCAATTGCAGCAATGCATGAAGAAAGCTTTGCTGATGACTTTGCTTTCGACTGTGAAATGCTGGCAAGATTTGTTTCACTTTTTTCAGTACTCAGTTTTCCATCAAGTACCCTGTTTTCAAGAAGCTTTTCAGAATTGTCTTTTAGCAATTTGTCCTCTGTTTTTCGAGCTTTAAAAGGCTCATAGACACTTAAATTCATGGAGTTTGTCTCTGTCTCTCGTTTAGCAACTTTATTTTTATCTATACTACTTGAAACTGGGATTCCAGATTTAATCAAGTTCTCCCCTCCAAGTGCCTTTAGTTTGTCATATTCCTGCTGAGATACAGATCCTGCCAAGACATTTGCTCTGAAATTTGCACGCATCTCCTCCTTATCTGGGGGGTCATCCACTTCAATTTTTTCATCATCATCAAATTCTTCAGCACTTGATATCGGGCTAAACTGGTTGAAAGCCGAATCCTTCAGTGTAGTCTCAGAAGCTGACCCATCATCTTTAAGTGACTTCCCTTCATCTTTACTGTAACTATCAAGAGCTGATGACGTTAGAAAGCCATTATGCAAGCCATTGCCTGTGGAATGGTGGCCATCCTTGTCCACTCCTTCGGAAGAATCAATAGTACGCACATTTTTCACAATGACACTCACACCAACATCAGATGATGATGGGGCATGAGAATCTTCATCTGTGTGAGCATTTTGTTTTATGTGGCTTTCATGGTCATCATGTCCAGATTCAATAGCTGCTTTTGGATCGACCATGTCTGGTATGTCAAAGGCTGCAAGAAGGTCATCGAAATCTGGGGTCTTCATATCCCCCATGGTCATGTATTTGATTGTAAGCAAATCTGTAAAATAAGCAGAAAGTCATCATCTCAGTATTTTAAGCTCTAATAGCACAGTCTTACACAAAATAAGCTATGTTCACATATGCCATGCAAAAAGGTGCTACTTCACTTCTGAAGTAATATTTTCAGAAATTACACATTCCAGAACAGTCTTCCAGTGCAAGTGTACAGACGAATTATTACACCAAGAGCTATAGTAATACATCAACTTCACAGACTGTGACCTAGTCATTTCATTCTAGGCATAAAATTCTCTTCAGTGACTTTCTTCCTGTCCCCTCCCCTACACGCCCTCCTACCCTCTCCCACATACACTATGATTATAACAAGATACCTAGACTTTCACGAAAGTAACGTGAGGCACTTGCAATTCCTTCTAAGTCTAGATTTTCCTTGACATTTGCATTATCAACCTGATGAGTCATATTGAAGATGGTAACAAATGTGTTTCTACTAACAGTTTAAGACTGTTGCACTGCTTCCTATAAATTAAATTGCTTTATAAGAATTAGGGAATAAGTGTCTCCCGGTGTTCACAACGCTTTTTTTTCAGCAACTCTAATGAAGGATCTAGTGTATCTACACTATTCCTGGCAGGCGTCTCACCTACTTTAAAGACCACCCATAACAGAGATTCTACAACCTCAAATGTAATTTGTTCTAGTCATTCACAATTTTCACTGTTACATTTCCTACTACATAATCTGAATCTTTCTCGATGCAATCTGAATGAACTACATGTGGTTCTATTCACCTATCCTCTTTGTAACAGCACTTTACTCCCTTCAAACTTTTCCTTTTTAGGCTAACCAACACCAGTTCTTTAGGGTTTTCTTTCCCCTCACAGATAACATTTTCCAGATCCTGTTCTTTTTGTTCACCACTGGCCTCTGTTGTTGGTTTTTTTTCCTTCCAATTCCCAAACCAAACAGGTAACTCAAAACTGAAACTTTACAAATGTTGTGTAAAAAGAAAAAATAACTTTGAGTATACTTTTAGATTTAAATCCCACTATGACATTTGGCATCAGTGCCTTTTTCCACTGATGTTTCAGTAATATGCAGAGGTGTGCAGGGGATCACTTGTAGAGATCTACAAAAATCAGTTACAGAAGCACAGACAGACATTTTCTTCATTCTCTTTCATAACCATGCACAGGTATGATTTGTATTGTTGTGACAGAGCTGTTTTAAACATACTTTCATTGTTCAGTAATTATCAGGCCAAAGTTAGCATTCACCATGAAAAGGTACTTAACCAAGTAAGTGTTATTGTTAGAAAATGCCCATTTAGGAAGCACCCAGTCTGTCCTCCTGCCTTTGTATCAGCACTAAAGGGCTGGAAAACATTCTTACCATATAGCTCAATGTTCTGTCTCCAGTATCAATTAACACAGGCCATCAGAGAATCATAGTGTGACTAACTGCAACAGTGCTCTCCCAGCTCCTCATATGAGCTCAGATAAGCAAGAAGCTACATGCCCCATTGCAGAAGGTCTGTTGGAAGCCGCTTGCCAATGGAGATTCATCCTACAACTTCAGTAGCTCACTTCCTCCTCCTCTTAGCTCATTAGCTTGAGCTCTGGAGAGAAACTACTCGCTGACTGTTGAATTCATCTGTAACAATGCTAAGATAAACTAATCAAAATGCATATATATGTTTAAATATATATTTTTATGCACATCATTATCAACACAGGCAGCATTCTAACTGTTCCTCAGAAAGATGCAGTTTATTAAAAGAGCATAACCCCTTTGCTTGACAAAAATCTCTAAGACTTATGTATTCATCAACAGTGGCTACTAGGAAGTCATTATGGACTATAAGAAAGGCAACTGAGGAAAATTCCTCAAGGATACTGGAATACACACAGACATTTCATGTAATACCTTCAAATAAATATATAATGGTTTTGAAAATTGTTTACATGGTCCACTTTATTTTTTTTTTTGCTTTGTCTACTTTATTAACTCCTTTTCATTGCACTAAGTCCTTCTGCAGAGCTGAACTCAGCATGTGATTCTTTATAAAATTATGAGTATACCATTGCAACTGATGAATTTACTTTCTTAATTAACTCATAATTCCTTTACTTAATGGACAATATATAGTAGCCTATCATGGTAAATGCTCATCATCAAGACTCCACTACTTTTGTAAAGCATATGGTTATAATCCATACTTATCAGACATAAGATTGTTTCACAATGCTGGTAATTCTGGATTTATTGTGTATTTGTTTAATTCTAACATTTTAAAAATCCATTTATTCAAAAGCAGGTTTCTAGCCTTCATGCACTTAAAACTAGTAATTGGGATAAAATGAACATAAAGATTTAAGAAAAGAGACTAGACAAGTAACCAGTACAGCTCAACTCTCTTGCAGTATAATCAGAAGCTAACTCATCATGTTCAGCACATGTGGCAGTAGACGCCTTCCTATACCAAAGCAAGATGACTACCACACTTACGCACAGTGCTGCAGACCTGGACTTTAGTCTACCCTCTGCCTGAAAGATTTCAAGATCCTGTGAAATGGCCACAATTACAAAGGCAGTTATCTAATAAATAAAAAAAAAATACATACACGCATAATATCAAAATTACAAAGAAAGTTCTAAGAAGAATAACTTCTTATAATTCTTATAAGTTTCTTATAAGTTCTTATAAGAATTAAATGGAAAAGATTCCAGAGACCAAAACATATCAAATCCATGTAAAACCACAAAACAAGCCTTAACTGACACAGTTTTTCAGGATTCGAAAGACTAATTATTTGCACTCTGATTACACATCTGTCCATAGGTGTCTTTTTACAGTTATTATATACACTCAAAACAGAAACAGAAAGTCTTCCTAGTCTAAAACTTCCTCTAATTACATATACTGGAGTTTAATTAACACTTAGCAATAGCAATGAATTAAGCAAAGGCCCACTTACACAGTATTTCATCCAAGTATGTTTAAGAGCAAAACTGTGTAGCAGAGGAGATACATTTGTCCTTTACTGAGAAACTCGGTTAGGCTAATTCCAAAATGAGAAAGTATCTCCAAAGAATTCAGGGATCTGCAGAGCTAAGATCATAAATTTATCCATAGACAGCACACTGCATAAAGTTGCAACTGTCTTTCAAGTGTATGCAGAAGGAACAACTCCCATGCTCTAGCAGAGCATGCGAATGGATTGGTTTCTTCTGTGTGGGGGACCCAGAATTACTGGTGCCCTTATGAAGAATCCCTCCCGTTCTTCAAACTTTTAAAGCAATCTTAAGTTAAACAAAAAGGGACAAAAGACATAGCCAGTCTTGATAAACAAGCAAGCAAAGTTGTAACATGGATGTTTTATTCATCTCTTCCTCACTATTCTAGTATACCATTTTAAGATTCAGTATATAAACCATGTTTCCACCACAACTGCCAGGACTCTGAAGCCACATTCCTCCCTTTTTTTTCCTCCAAAAACCTTGCAGTAACTCCTTCCCTTAACGATAAAACTCTGCCTTTTATCCAAGATCAAAATCAACTGACAACGTTGGCTGCCCGACAAGCTGTTAGTCTATTCCTTCTCTGGGCCAACATGATGCCTGTAAATACTTCAGAACAGGAAACGAGGCAAGTTCCTGGTTCCCTAGGAAATTGTTATTTTCCAGGAACTGGAATTTCTTTGAGAACTGCTTTTAAAGTGCTGAGAGCAAAGTTCAATGCCTCCAAAGAGACACGCAAAGGTGTAAAAACCCAGCATCAGAGGGCTGCCATTAAGATGATCTTCAGAACTGATCTGAGAAACAGTCCACAAGGTGTGTAATCAACGACACATTCCTCAGACTAAACAAACAAAAACATATTTAAAGAAACAAAATGCAAGACTCCCACCTTCTCAAACATCTTTGTCTGAAATAGAATTTCTTTCCATTTTTAGTTTCTGAATAGTAGAAACAAAATTCACTTCAAAAGAGGGAAATGCCAACTTGAAGCATGTATTATGAAGAACAATGGATAGATGATACAATAAACTCAACACCCTAATTTTGTGTGTACTCATATGAAGAGTCAGTTCTTAGATTTATTGACTCTGTCCAAAGTACTATTTAATTTTCAAATGAGAGCCTCCCTTTGTAACATCCCTTTTCGTTCCCATGGACTAGTTCCATTTCCTGCCTCTCCACCTGGCTGGCTGCTGCTGTTTACCAGGAGAATGCCAGGAAACACCTATCACTTTTGTCATAAGATTTGCAACCTTTAGGGTGCTTGAATTACTTGAGAAAAGTTATTAAAGAAAATCAGTTTCTTTAAAAGTTCAACCATTACTTTGCTTACTGACTATTCAATGATAAAAATAAGTAAAAAGGAAAAAAATCCAGATATGGCCAATAGGAGTTACAAGGAGCAGTGAGGTGCAATGCTTCTGGATTCTGCTTTTTTGATGGTGGGTGATAGGACTTCAGGGAAGATACAACTGAGTCTTAAAAACTTAATGACGGCAGAGTCTGAATATACTTACTTCATGATTTCCATTAATCTCTTTGGTGACAAGGTCCATCCCTATGTGTGCATCGATGTCTTACTGAAATGTAAGGTGTGAATTAAATTCTCGAGGATAAACCAAGATTGTTTTATTTGTGTTCATGCTTTGTTCAAAGCATGTATGCATGACCTCCTGCATTCTTCATTCTTTGGAAATGCATCTCCTGACATAAGTGCTTCCTATGAACAGCATGAAGAAAATGACACAGGTTTTAGCCAAAGGAAGATACTCCTTGACTGTTCCACTGTCTTACTTTTCCCAGTTAGCCTTTTTACTCCAGTTCATTTGATAACACATTCCAGTGAAGCACTCACTTGGGTAATTATGTCAAAACAAGAACCAGATCGTGACAACTCTCTACTGACAGTGGAAGAAGCAAGCAGGACAAGAATTTGATGCTACACCCCTGAGAAATAGTTAAATTCTTGTAAACCTTTTGAGGCCTTTGTATCCTGTCTGTTAAGATGGAAAGTCT